ACAGGGAAGGGAAAAAAATTGTCAGTTTCTTAAATCAGTATTCCTGAGATCATGTTAGCATATGCCACTTTTTTATAAGAAAACTGTTTTCTGGACAGAGGTAACAAAGATCAAATCTATGTTCCTTTAATAAACCATTTCATCTATGTTACGTTACTACTAAATATGAAGAAGAAGAAGAAGAGGATTTGTTCAAGTCCTAAATGGGGAGGGTATATAGGCATAAGATGGGTCACAGGAGAGGGAGAACTAAAGAATATTCTGATGAAGATCCTGAAGGTGCAGTTAAGACCCAGTCATAGCTCCAGCTAAGTCTTAGATACAGTTAAGATTCCATCTTATTTACTATTTTAATTATGAGCTTGGAAATAAAAGAGTGTGTGCTAATGAAATTTGCAGATGGCCTGAACAGAGGCTTTATTAAAACAGAGGCAGATCAGAATATAAAAACAATTTGATGACCTCACATATTGGAATGCAACGAAATTGAAAACTAATAAACAAGCAGTTATGATGGTATAACTCATGAACTGGAAATATTAGTCTATCACAGAATAATTATGTGGTTCTGAGAAAAGGATCATAGGGTCAATTATGTAAAGTGTATCTAACAGTCCAGTGTTAATGGCATAGTACATGGCAGATACACTGTACAATTTTGTGTGCTACTTAAAAAGTCAAAATTCAAACAAAATCAAAAAAAATCAAAATTCAAACTGAAACAGGCACAGACAAGAACTGTTGGGCTGAGAAAATGAGGAGTGTACCTTTTCGGAGGAGATGAGGATAGTGGATGTGGACAATCACAGCTGCTTTCTGGAGCTTTCTCCATGAAGGGAGCATGCAAGTTTGTACCTCCTCCAAGCACTTCTTCCTGCCTTTACATCTGTAGTGGTCAAGTAGCATTTAGAGATAATAACTGCAGTTGTTATACAAGTATGCAGGTATTAAATAAAGAAACTGACTAACTGGGATTCACTGATTCAGAGGAAGTACTGCACCCCAGCTGTTTAAGTTTATCTGGGACAAAACTCACACTTGGAAATTTAAGAATGTAAAAAACAAAACAAAACAAAACAAAACACAAAAGGTTGAAGCTGTTGCTTGCCCAAATTGGAAACATAAAGCCAACTAACCAAAGAAACAAACAAATACCACCCAATAATCAATACACAAAATTAGACTCAATAATAGCAAATCTTCTTATTTGTTCTAGGTATCTTTCATACACTTCATGTCCTGTTTTAGGGAGTAATACAAAGCCCGCCATCTGAACTCTGTGTCTGAGAAATTAACCTTGTCTCTGTGATATAGCCTTACAAAATACAATCCCAAAGGTCCTTTCTAATTTATATCAATCAACTAAGAGCTGGCTGAAAAGGACTCTTTTGAATTACCAAAGAAGACTTCAGATCTTTTTCATATTTTAGCTGGCTTTGGAAAATTACTTGCATTGTTGGAGGTTTTTTAGTTTTTCAGATTGTTTGGATGCCTGAAAAACATTTCAGTATTCATAGGACTTTTGCTCTTTTGGGACTATTAATTCTTTTTGATTAGGAGGTCAATGAAATGTAAGATTCACTGTTCCTTCCTTTCTCGACATCATTTACCCATAAAAGTCTTTCTTCCCAGTGCTGCATTCTATAATGTCCTAGTAAGTATGGACTGTTAAGAAATCATGTCAATCTAATAGTTGATGCTACATTCCTAGCTTTATAGTCACCATGAAATTGCGTATCATTAACCCAAACAACAAGCCTATTAAGATGGCACTTACTTAATGTAAGTAAGCTCCATTTGTTGTCATTTTCAGGAATTCCTTGTGGCATGAAAGCTAAAACAGCCTGACTTATTCAAACTGACAAAATAGCAGCTGTAAAAATATATTGCTGCTTTCTGTAAGTACTACAGGATTATAAACGCTAAGGAGGAACTGACAGCAAGACAATACTGGCACAAGACAGCTATTAACTACCCATGGAATTCTGAAGGGTAGTCACCATCTGATAACTGAGTTCTTGTAAAGCCTGAAGTAACTCTGAGCTCAAAATGTCAACAGTTTAGGGACAAAACTGTAAATTTGTAGGATACTTTCAGCATTGTATGTATTTGTTTCTGTAATAAAAAGGTGGGCATTCCAAGCCCAGTGTTCTCATGAGTAGCCCTAATCTGCTCCTATAATGAATTATAATATCTTCTTGCAACAACTACTCTTCATTTTCTCTATCAGAACACACAGAAATAATTGTACAATTCAGCATATTTCCTTTACTGTCTAAAAAACCTGTTAATCTGCTACTACCTTTCACATTAGGGCTCAAATGCACCCTGCGGATTTTTTACTAAGCGTTTTCAGTGTACATTTAAATCTCCCCTACCTCCACTTCTGAAATTGCCTTCAGATTAATGTTCATAGACGTTGCATTAAGACTAGAATCTCTTTTCCTTGAGGCACAGCTGAGAACCTTGGTAAAAATATTACATTATTGCCTAGCAAAATACTATGTAATGTACCAAGAGAAGTGCAAAGGATAGGTAAATGTAAACAAATATATATACCTGTAGATTGACTGGTCACTTTATACACAAAATGAATACCAAAGTGAAAGGAAGTCTGTCACAGGTTCAGCAGATGAAGGACCCAAGAACTTGTGCTCAACATGTGCTACAGATCTAGTGCCATATCAATGCCCTGGAAATTAAATAAACTCAATCAGTGCTAAAATATTACATAATAAATTAAGATATTTTAAATAGCATTGGTACAGCCATCTGCTTGGAAGACTCCCAGCGGTCAAGATTTTGAGTCTGTCCATGAAAGTAAGAATGGGAATAATGGACCCAAAGTTTATTTAGGTCAGCACTGTCTCTCCAGTGGGACATTACTGGAACAAAGAACAAAAGAAAAGAAAACCCCAAAGTATTCACTGTATCTTCTTACAGTCCAGTAGTATACAATTCAGGGCTTTACTGAGGGAGAGTTGGGTTTGTACACTTTTTATAGTCTTAAAATGGATTTCACAAATTTGTTGAAACGCTTCTAGAAACCATGTGGTTTGCCAGCACTCTGAACACACTTCCACAGCCTGATGAAATACAATGTGGAAATATCTCTTCCTAGAAGATGTCATCTGCCAGTGGGAGCCCCTGGTGGTCTAGAGGGTAAAGGCGCTGCACTGTCACCGCAGAGACCCAGGTTCGATTCCCAGTTGGGGCCACTCCCTGGGCAGATGGAGCTCGTTAGCCCTGTAAGGCAATCCATCTACGTCCTGAGGACCTCGCTGCCACCATCCAAGCTCGCTTGGCCCCGGCAGATGAACCTCAGGATTAAAGGGTTGGCTCAGTTCTGTGCACGCTGTGTCTCACCTAAAAAAATCCAATGCGCAGGCTGGAAGGTGGAAAGACCTTCCCCAGTTCTTCGTACGCGAATACTGGCCATTATCTATTACATCTACCAGTCTTTTGGTGTTTGCTATCTCTCGGGAATGCACCACTCCAGGTCCACCTTCTGTGTATGTTTACGATAAAGGACCTCTAGCACATCCAGCTTCCACTGTTCCCTTTCCAAGCTGACAAGTTTTTGTCTGAACTGTGATTTCTGCTAAGGAAATTACTCAGTATCCTTGTTTTGCATCTCTGTTGTTTTTCTATACATGTTATACTATTTTTCAGATGATGAAATGAAGTTTGCACATTGAACATTTCAGGGCAACCGTATTTGTCCAGCCGTATAGCAACTGTTGAGCTGTATGAGTTGCATAATGACGCTATGCAGTATCATTGTCTTTCTTTCTCATGGCAAATATCCTTATAATCACTAATTCTATTATTTTTTATACATTTTATCATTTTTCCTGGGAAAACCATCTATTTTTCTCCAATTCCCCTCTGGTATCACATTTACTACACTTCAGCCATCTAGCACCAAAGCCAGTTCCCGCTACAGTGCACTAACTATAGTTAATAGTAAGTTGCTGTCTAGCAATTTTGTAAGGTTTCATAAATACTGTCTCTACGCTCTAATCCCTGTTTTGCTGGCTTTTTAACATCAGACACTGCAGTTTGGGCCACCAGAGAGTTGAGAGACTACTGGTTCTCTGATACACCTTTCTACAGGCACAAATTCTTCCTGAGGACTCCCCACGGTGAACGGCAATACAGAAAACTCACTTAGTATTTGGTTTGTCAAAACATCCTGGCATCCCAACCTGCATAGAAATAGCGTGGCCAGCTGGAATAAGGAAATGATTCTTCCCCTGTAATTGGTACTGATGGGGCCACGCCTTGAGTTCTGTGTCCAGTTCTAAAACCCCCAATTCAGGAATGACATTGTGGTGCTGCTGCGTGTCCAGACATGGGAAACGGATCTGGTGAAGGGTCTGGAGCACAGGTCACATGAGGAGCAGCTGAGGGAGCTGGGGTGGTTTAGCCTGGAGGAGGCTCAAAGGGGACTTCATTGCTCTCCACAACTACCTGAAAGGGGATTGTTGCCAGGTGGATGATGGTCACTTCTCCCGAGCAACTAGTGACAGGACAAAATAACATAGTCTTGAGCTGCGCCAGGGGAGGTTTAAGTTGGACATGGGGAAGAATTTCTTCCTAGAATTAATGATTAGGTACTGGAAGGGGCTGCCAGGGCGTTAGTGAAGTCACCGTCCCTGGTGGTCTAGCTGACGTGGTGGTGTTTGGTCATAGGTTGGACTCGATGATCTCAGAGGCCTTTTCCAACCTAATTGATTCTGTGATTGTGTAGCACAGGTTCCAGCAGCGTTCGCTGTCCCGAACCACCCCCGGTGCAGGGCCGGAGCTGTGCAGAGCACACACCTATTTCTGAGCAGGGCTGCCTGGCGGATGCACCCCTTGGCACCCCATATTTGTGCGGACACGACGCGGACACCACCACCTCCTGCAAGCCCTGCCCGCCGAGTCTCCCCGCACCGCCCCGGCCCGGCCCGGCCCGGCCCCGCGCAGGGCGCAGGCGCGGCGGGGCCGCCGCGGGGGCGGGTTTGAACGGTGGCGGGCGCCGGAGCTGCCCGGGCCATGGCGCCAATGGAGCCCGTCCTGACAGGTACCGGCCCGTCCGCCCCGCGGGGGCTTCCCCCGAGCGGCCGAGAGGGGCCGCCGGGCTGGCGCGGGCCCCACTATCCCTCTCCCCGTATCTTCGCGGCCCTTGCCCCGGCACCTCCCGGCTGGGCAGCCGGCGGGGAGCGGCCAGGCCTGGCTGGTGCGGGGCTGCGGTCGCGGCCGGCCGTGGCGGGGGAACGGGGCTCCCCCGCGGACTGCTCTGTCTCGCCGCGAATCCCCCGGTCCCGGCGGCGGGGCCCGGCCGTCCCGGGGCAGGCGAGCTGTGCAAGGCGCAAGGCCGGGCCGGGCCGGGCCCGCCTCGCTCGGGCTGCCCCGCTGGGGTGGCTGCCGCTACTGCTTTGCCCGGAGCCTCCATCCGCTCTTCCTGCCCGGGCAGTCCTGGCTTCCTTCTGCATCTCTCTTAAATTTCTGCCTCGCCAAGTTGCCCTCTAATGGCAACTCAGCGATCACCGCCTTCTCTGAGACCTTCTAAGCATAAGTTGGCGTTTACAAGAACCGATCTCAGAGCTCTTCCAGTTGAAAAAAGCTCCAGGCGCTTCCTCATTTTCCTTTCCATCAACTATACAAAAACTACAAAGGGCCTTGGCTTTTGTTGGAGTATATTTGATTGCTTAAAATGGACTAATTATCGTGAAATATACCTTTGATCCTGCAGCAGGTACATGGAGCTCTGAAGTAGCATCCATCTAAATTCCTAGTGTGGCCTTTACTGAAATGTTCCGTTCTGGTTTTCCAGGAGAATTACAACTCTGAAGGTTCTAAAGTATTTCCTGTAAGAGGAAGATAGTGTATTTTCAAATGCAAGTGCAGTGTTTCTCACAATAAAAGAATAAAGTTAAAAAAAGCAACTCTATCAAACGCTGCCCTGGTGTAGTAGTAGAATGAACCCAACTGGAAGTGCACTGGAGTAGATTTAAGTTCCCGTGCATATCTGAAGTCATAGTATTGATAATAAAATTTTCCCAGGAAACTGGATAAGGAATTGGTTTATGTTCCATATTTCTCTTTTATGTCAAAAGTATTTCTAGCAATTATAAAAATATGTTAATCTTTATAAAAGTACCTCTACTGTTGAACCGTTATTCTGGTTTTCATTTAGAAAGAAGGCAGATGACACTACTTAATAATTAATCAGCAGGGCATGTGTAGTAACTAAGACAATTAAGCAATATTTGCTAAGGATGACCCTTTTCAATTGAAACTCTCAATTTAATTTATCGGTTCTGAGAGTTGTCTGGCCTGTGGTTTGTGTAAAGTTGTTTTTGGTGAACTGGCATTCCTCTAGTTTCTGGAACTTTCCCGATTCATCATGCCAAACAGGAAAGTGGCATGGCCAGTGGAATTGTAGGACACTTTAGTGCCCACCCTAAAATGAAATTAAAATTAATGAAGGGATTGTTATGAGCTTTATTTGCTTATCCCTCCATGTCAGTACTTCTGTATTGGTGTTTTAAAGACCTTGTTTGGTTGTTTAAAAACCTTCTCAATCAAGGATGATTTAATTCTTTGAAGAATTCATTAAACTGCTTGATAAAGGAAGCTACTTAAAGGTGAATATGTAAAGTTGTGTAAGGCAACTGACATGAAATTTTATTAGCCCCTGTTATATGTACCTAATTTTGGGTCATTCAGTATAAATAAAGTGAAACTCCAAGTCAATGGGAAACTTTTAAGTAATATTTCTGTAGAGTTTTCTGGGAGTTTGGAGAAGGAATAATTCTATTGTGGTTATTTCATTTTATTCTGTAACTTGTGTTACATCGACTTGTCTTCAAATTTTTGATTAACCTGAAGTTAGGACTAATTAAATCATAATAAGGGTAAGCGGTCATGTAGAGATAACACATTGCTTGTTAATCTGGTAGTGTGTTTAAATAAGTGAAATGAAAAGTTGTTTAACTAGTGTCAGACTTCTAAGTTAATTCAATTACAACTAATTTAAGGGACATAAATACACTTAAAAAAGCTTTCTACTGCTAAAATCTGATACTCAGTTTACTAAAATATATGTTTGCAAGTGAATACAATATGTATAAAAGCAAAATTTTATTGGAAAGGCAACCAGTTTTACCATACTATATACTTTATTAGTTGTTTGTTGCTTTCTCTCTTCTTATCCAGGTGTTTCAGCATTTGTAGAAGTTTGGTCATCTAACAGAACAGAAAATTACTCAAAAACCTTTGAACAGCAACTTCTTGATATGGGAGCCAAAGTAAGGAGACTATTTTTAAATATTTAGAATAGGAACACTCTTAATTATGCACTAGCTTGCTTGTTCTGCCTGTCATGTATATTTCTTTTTAGTACGAGTTTTTAAAGGGCAGGAAGGAAGAAAATCACAGACCTGAGAGCAGATCAAAGTTCTGTAAAATTCTTGCTCTGACAGATGGGAAATCTGCCTCTCTACATCTAGGAAGCTCTTTGTATATTAATGTGATAGGATGCATTTCTTGTAAAGTATTGGGCTTGCCATGTACTGTGGCAAAACAAATCCAAGTGTTGAAAACCTTTGGTTTACAAGTTTGTACCTTAGGTGGTTTTGTTTACTTTAACTTGTAGGCTTATTAGCAAAATATTTTCTAACTCTAACAAGTACCATGACATTGTACTCTTTCATTCTCCCACAAATGTGCTTCAGTTCCAGAAAGTGCTAGTAAAAAGAGTCTCAGTTTATGTCAAAATGATTTTTTCCATACCAAATATAGTTGACTTGTAGGTGCAAAAGATGCTTAATTGCTAGCCAGAGACCAAAGTCAAACTCATGTCTTCCCTTCTTGCACATTATCATTGGTTAATAGAGATTTTTACAGCCCACATCACGCTTTAAAAAACACTTGTGTGAACTCCCAGTGCTCTTTAAGTGGGCATGTGTAGATATATCTTACTATAATTAAAAAAGCTTGCTGATCTCCCCCAGTCCTCTCTTTCTGTATGAAATAAGCTGAGAGTGTGACAGAACAGTAGGATAACTGGTTTTATTATAAAAGCAAACATAACTCTCAATAAATAACTCAAGTAACAAATATTTCTTGTTCTTTTATGCTGTACTATCAGATCTATGTAATTCGATTCTGATGATGTTAGATTTTTCTCACAGAAAATATGACAAAAGCATAAGGCTTCAAAATTCTTCAGATTGATCCAGGCAGCCAAATATGGTGGAAGGTGCAGGCAGATGATATGAATGAGCCTATTTAGCAGATCCCTGTGACTGAAAAGGGATGGTTGTGCCCCTTCACTATTCCAGACACTTCCCTTTTATTGGCTGAGCACATGATAGTAAGACTGGCTTGGCTCAATATATCAGGAAATAAAATTCTATATTAGTTTTTCACTAGATTGTTGATTCAGACATCTCAAGGTAAGTTCAGCTGAGCAGCAGAAGACATCTGGTGTAAGGGAGGAGGTGGGAGGGGTGAGAGGGAGGTATAAGATGGTGCTCCTCCGTAATTTGGAGGCAAAGCTATATCAAGCATCTGTCCCCTTAGGACATGAGCCGTCAGCTGGATACTGGCAAAAGTGGGTAAGCAATTGTATCTGGAGTCATAACTTATTCCAAAAGAGAGTCACCTGTCCTGGATACCTAGAGACTTAAAAATCATGGGATATTGTCTGCTAAGAAGTCATAAATCAACTTGCCACCAGAAATTTTTGGAGAAGTTGAATAGTTTTCTTAAAGCTAAATACAGACCCAGCATGCTGGGAGCCAAGTATAGCGATGCAGCTGAGAGAGCAACATTTGGCTGTGCTGAGAAGGTGCTGCTGCTGTAAAAAATGGGTTGTATTGATCTCACCACGTCAACAATCACAACTGATCGAGCAGTTCTGCTTAGGGTGTTTAGTCTCCACAGAGGAAATTTTGGTTGTGAAGAATGGAATATCTAGAACTGAAAACGTTATCTTTTAGTTGTCAATAGAAGCTGAGAATTGACAGTTTGATCAGATGTGGAATGTAGCTGTGTACTGACTTTAATTTTTTTTATTTCTCACTTTTTAAAGCATTCACATATAATTTTTTTGTTAGTAGCACCTTCAGCCTTCCCTCAAAAGTGATCTTTATTGGTGAGAATTGGTTTAAGGAGTGACATTAGCTGTACTCTTTAAACCTAAGTTATTTGCTGAAAAAAAGATATAATTTACTATTTTTTTGGATAGTGGCACCTGCTTTCTATATTAGCTGTTGCATAAGAAATTATGTTGCACTACCTAAGTAAGGGATACAGCTAGAGTAGAGAGTTGGAAACAGTAACCTAGAGAAAAGAAGTTAGAAAATAGAAGGCGACTCTCGCCCTCTAGGCTGCGTTGGCTTGAAAAATGAGTCTTGAGTTTTGGTTGTCTGAGGATTTTTGTAAAGATGGGAAAGATCAAAAGAGTTCTTGGCATAATGTTTTGAATAAGTTTTATGCTAATGGTTTATACACTAAAATTAGACTACAGTAGCTAGTTTCATTAGCATTTTCCTATTATCAGACATACAGATAAGCTCTCTGTGTACTTTTGCAGGTCTCAAAAACTTTGAACAAACACGTGACCCATGTAGTCTTCAAGGATGGACGTTTCACTACGTGGAAAAAAGCACAGAAGTTGGGTGTAAAAACAGTCTCTGTACTTTGGGTGGAAAAGTGAGTACTCGTGGTTATGATGAATGTGGCCTTTCCCAGAGATAATGGGTTCTAGTATTGTTTTATTGAAAAACTTCAGAACCTGTTTTATTAATGTACTTGAAATAGTGATCAGCGCGCTTGTAGCAAGCATGGGTAGAGCCCTTCTCAAATCTTAGTTCGCGAAGCCTAGCCATGAATTAATGAATGAAATAGTGATAAATCCATGAGTAAATTTGTAACTTTGCTATGATATTATTCCTTTTTATAAAGGGTGTTACTTGCATAAAAAGGTAAAATGTTAACTCTTAAAAAATGAATGTGTTGAAGTAGTTTCGAAGTACGTTTGTTAACCATTCAGTGTTTTACTCCTTCCTCTCAGATGGCATGTGTAGGCAGTGAAGGCCAGATATTTATCTTGAATAGAATTCTTCCATTTTCATATGAAAAAGCACATTTCATCAGGGGCATTTTACTCTTTCTGTACTTCTGTAGAATATATCCTGGCAAGAAAGAAAAAGATCCATATGTAGTCTGGCTTTTAAGACATTTGTCAAGTTCAGAACAGCACTACTTGAAGATTCTCTTCTAACATATGGAAAAAGTTAAATTTATAAAAAAAAGCTCTAAAAAAATTTTGGCTGTGCAGCCAGTCTGTGAGAATTTGCTAGGCCAGAGCTGCTTCTCTTGAGTTTACAAAGTGCTTGAGAGGCCTAACTTAGATTTCAGATGAAGTGTCAAAACACAGTTTATGAATATGCATGTGTTGTATTCAAACACTCCAATCGATAAATTGACGTGATGATGGAAATTAGAATATAAGTCAAGTAAAGAGGGCCTTACCTATACCAGTTGTAATACACATAGAGAGATAGCAGTCTTAGTGCAAAAGTTTTGGGGTTTTGTGGGGTTTGTTTTTTTTTTAAAAAGGGGGAGGCAAATCTGATCTCTTTAACCACTTGATTGTAGGCCAGTGCAACCAGAAAAGCTGTGATGCAAGTCCATTATCATAAAAAGAAATTTACAGATCTGCAGAAGCAGGAGTTTTCTTTTTTTTTTTCTGTAAGGGATGTCAGATATAGAAGTTACAGACACACAATCCAGCCAGCTTTAACACCCATGAAAAAATACCCCAAGTTCCCAAAAATGTGAGTGAAGCAAAACTGTATTTATGTGAATGTATCTCTCTGTGACTTGGAAGTGCTATAGTAAAAAGAATCTTAAAAAAGTGCAGATGAGTAGCATCAGCCATGGAAGAAGAATGAGAGCACCTTACAGGGGAGAGTCTCAGTCATGTCATACGGAAATGCTGTCTCCATAATAGCAGTTCCACCACAAGAATCTCCTCTGCAATGCTGGAAGGCACTGAGTGGATGAACACTACAGAAAGTTGAGAGGTAGAGACAGCCGTATGTGTGACACTGTAGGAAACAGCAAGGAGCTCTGAAATCCAGGAAATCCTCAAGGAAACTTCTGCTGGATACCAGCAACAAAGGAAAAAAAAGAAGGATCTGGAGGGAAAACTTTAGCTGTTTGGTAGGAAAGAGAAGGCTAGCATCTTTCTGCTATTTTTTAAGTGTTCCTAGTATCATATTCTGACAAGGTCTTATAAGGCTTAGAAGATGAAGTTTGTTGGAACTGGGGGATTCGTCTCAAATAGAGGTATTTTGTTGCAGAGAAGGACCCAAGCTGTGAATTATGATTGAACTTCTCTGTAATCTTTTTCTTCTGCCTCTTAGTTTAAAGTAAATGCTACAAGAAGAACAGAAGGACATGCATGCAGCTTAGATTGGTGCATACTGTAGGCAGAATTTATGGGAATATCATATCCTTGAGCAAAGTATAGTTTGGGAGTGGTAGAAGCTTACAGAAGAGATAGTAATAAATATTCTTACTAGTCATAGGGTTATGCAAATGATGCACAGCCAGTACAAAATTAAAATCAGTCTGTGCTAGCGTTCAGGTTGTGTTTTTTTTTTTTTTTTTTTTGTAATAAGATGAGGAAACTGGTGTGCCTGACTTTAAATTATATGCCTTATATCAGTGTCTGAGACATTGGTAGGCAAAAGACAGTTTGTTGAACCCTGGGAAAATGTAAAGAGTGTGTGCCAGTAAAATAGTTGTCCTGTGTGAATGAAAGCTTAGTTTGAACCTGATGACTGTGTAAGCAAATAATGTAGAGTTCCTATGAGTTGAATTTATATATACATTCATTTAGAAATTAATGTATATTTTCCTTTCCAATAGAAGAATTGGAAAACATCACATGAAAATGCCTGGATGCAGATTCAGAGAAAACAGTAAATGACAGGTTTTAACAGAACTCCTTGATGCAGAATCATAGTTAGCAAAGATTTATATGGGTTTAGAAAATTCCTGAAGCAATTAAATGTTTAGTATTATCAAAAGATAAATACAGTGTTGCATCTGACCATCTCTAAATGAGAATTCTGTGGAAGTTGAAGTTCAAAAAAATTTGTAACTCCCGAGTAAAGGTATTTCTAATTTAAAAAAAATTCTTTAGTTTTTTTTTTCTTTTGTTTCCTTTCTAAGGATGGTGGATATGTCTCGTGTTTAGGATCACTGAGAAAAATCTTTTTGCATCTTCTTTAACACTAATACCTCAGTGAGCAACCTAAAAATATGAAAACCCAAAACCAAAAAGAACCCTATAAAAGATAGAATTGCTACAATCTGCATCCAAATTAGGAACACTTCATAGTTCCATATCAAACCCATGATTGTGAAACTACCTGTGTATTCTTAACTCATCTCACAAATAAATGATAAATCATTTACATTCAGAATTGCATGCAAAAATTCTTATAATATATTTAGTGGCCGAATTTTCCTCTGTTTAGCTTCTCTGAATCAACGAAGTCTCCGAATGAATGTAATTTTTCATGCAGTCTACATCTATGCTGATAATTATCCTGAATTAATTAACAGTCCCTAAAGTCCATCGTTTTGAGTATCTCTTTTTGATGCTCCAGAGAATTCTAAATTCAGTTTGTTTGACAAATGCACGTAGTAGTTTGGCTTTTTTCTTCATTCAAAAATGAGTAACCAAGGGTTAGATTGTAATTGTACAGCCGCAGACTTTCTAGCAGTTCCGTCGCTAGGTGTCGGTAGAGCCACACGGGTGGCTGCAGGAAGGACTTCAGCCTCAGCTCTGGAATGTGTGCAAAGTAACATGAGTGGGAATCTTTCAGTTTCGGAGCAGCAATTTAGAGGGCATCATTAGCACAAAAAGTTGTATCACATATCAGGCATTAATGTAAATTGCACACTTAGAAAGGATTGGTGTTACTTTATTAATGGGCTCAGATGGCTTTTTTTGCAGTAAAGATTCTCATTCTTGAAAACGAGCAAAACTAAGAGAAGAAAATCCCAGCAAACCTGCTCTAATTTATTGTACAGGTGTCAAGAAACTGGAGTACATGTTGATGAATCCTTATTTCCTGCAGTGGACACTAATGAAGGATTTCCACTACTGATCAAAAAAGTATGTGATTTTTTTTTTTAATAGGCCTAGAACAGTAAGCTTTAAAGTTTGAACTTGACTTTCTGTCAAACTTGACATTTGAACTGTTTATTTTCAGAACATTCTGTAAACTGTACTTACCCATCTAAATAGGATTTTAAAGATAGGCTATTACTGTGATCATATCTGTGATCTTGTCTGAAGAAAGTATACTAAAATACAGTTTTTGTATTGGTGAATAAAAAATGAAGATTTTTCATTGAGTCACAACAAACTCTATTTAAAAAAATACCTTTAAAGCTTTAGCTTTGCTGCAAGCAATAAGGATCTGCTAGGTTCTTTCCTACTTCATATTAAAGTTCACTTTGAAAAATGTTGACTTCTGCAATTATCTGTGACTCAAGTAGCATAAACACCAGTAATAAATACTGTGACAAAGTGGTAGGCAAATAGGAAGTATAGTTACTTCTGGCAGTTTTATACTATATAACTAATAGTTTTGTGTGTCTTGTAGCACAAATGTATGCAGCCAAAAGATTTTGTTGAAAAAACTCCAGAAAATGATAGAAAGCTTCAGAGAAGACTGGACCAGATGGCTAAAGATTTAGCTCTACAAAAGACAGCAATTAATGCTGGTAAGAACTATTTTCGACTAACATTCAACTATCTGAAGTTATTTCTTTAAAGCACTTAATGGAGTTTTGGTTTTTGGTGATTTTTTATTTTATGGGTTTTTTTAGTTTTATGCATCTCGCCATGAGAAATAAAGTTGACTTTTTACAGAGTTCTTTGCAAGTCTGTGGTGTTAAGACATCTGTAATGATGTTAGATATAAGGAAACTATTTTTTTGTTAAGTTTTTTTGAATGAAAAATGGAACTTCATCTGAAGTTCTTATAGCATTTAAATATTAATATATGAATACAATTTCTTTGTGTAGATGTACCAGTTTTATTGTTTGAAGACAATGGTTCACTTATATACAGTCCTGTTAATAAGATGAAAGATCAATGCAATGCAATTGAAAGAGGAATGAAGGATATGAAGAAAAAAAGAGAAAATCTTTCTCCTACTGGTAAGAAGTTAAATTTTACTTACCTCTGAACATGCACAAACAGCTACTGTTTTTATTGCTGACTTTTTTGCACACTTGTTGTGTTTTCACCTTCAGAATTTTTTTTCATCTCTTACTTGATTCCGTGTCTTCCCTTTTTCACAGGTTTTGAGTAGGTACTGAACAACAGGATTTACAAATTAAATAAATTTGAATAACCTAATTGAATGAATTTAGTTGATTTCAAAATGCAGATCCGGGTGAATTAAATCTAGATTGTAGTTTTCAAATGTTTTTTAGTGCTTGCATTACCTTACTGCAAAAATATTAAGATCTAAATCATTAGGTTTTGCCAGCTGTTGAATGTGGAACATCTTTTGGTGGAACGAATCTGTAGTATTTGAAGTTTTAAGGTGACTGTGTCAAGTAGACTGTAAGTTTCTAATTTGAAAAATAAATGTGAGAAGAAAGATATAAGTAAGGAGAAAGTGATACATGGATGAAAAATTAAACCTCAGTGTAATTTAGTGTGGCTTGTATTTATTTTCTCTTTATACCTCAACAAGCCCTGGAAATGTCTGTAATGATTTCTAAAAGGTTTGCCATCATTCTTTAGTTTCAGAAAAATGAGATACTGAGTTACCTAGAAAAAAAATGTTTAAAAATATATCAACAAAAAAAAATTATTATATATAAAATGGAGACTGCTGAGCAGTCAATAATTATTTATATGGTTATAGTTGGCAAAGCAATGAGTTGTCTCTTACAACTAAGCTGTTTCTAAATATGAATGGATGGTATGGAAATCTGTATGTTCCCAAATAGGGCTAACTAGTTTATTGTTTATAAATTCCTACGTTCACAAATGACTCAAATACTTCCGAGTAGTTCACCAGGAGACTGCCTGCTTTCTCCTTGTGTCTTAGCTAATTCAGAAGATGCAACTTTATATTGCAGAAATTAAAAATAATACATGCCTTTTATATCTTATTTTGGAAAGTTAAGTATACTGAAATGGGAACTATATATGTATATATGTGTATTCCATATTTAAAGCTGAATTATCTTAGTTTTTCTTAACTAAAGAAAGAAAGTATGTAGTAGTAAGAATTCAAGGAAAATAGAGCATGAGGAATCCCAATGGGTAAATGCTCTACCTTACTACTATGTTGCTTACCTCACTTCCTGAGCTTTACTTATACCATTCCCCATTAATGACTTCTTGTTCTGGCATGTTGTCAGTCCTCTCTGCTCTTAACCATGGTCATGTATAGAACATGTGCACGAAACAGTGTAATGTGGGAAACTAAAAAGAGATCTGAATGAGAGAGAGACCTCCAAGAACTGTCTTCCAAATTTTCAATTGAAAACTTGAATTCAAAAGGAAGCCTAATGTGTTTTCCAGCTCAAGTAGTCAGGTTTGAAGATAGATATAACAAGAGTAAAAATAAATTGGCTTTTTAAAAATTTTATGGTTGCAGATGAATTAGAATTATATATTAGAAAGGTAAGACCCTCAGAAAGTTATTCTCATAAAGTTAGGGGTTTGTTCCTCTGTTTTGGCATATTAGCAGGATATAAGAGAGATTATTGTGAAGTCTGTTGAGCTACATCAGTGACCATCTTAACAGTATTGATCATGTACGCAATGGGTATGTACTTCAGACATTATGTCTTCTGTCAGTCACACGAGCAAAAAGCTCAAGTCAGATGCTGGTGTTTGATCTCAGTAGTAATGCAAGAAAGGCAAGGCAGCCTTTCGAGTTCATAAGGAGTTCATAAGTTGCCTTTTGTTTGTGCTTCAGAGATATATGAAATATGTGGGTTAATAGTGGTTAAAAACTTCAAGAAGCCACTTTTATTTGAGGACTGAATTTAGGACCTCTTCAACTGTCAGTTGAGAGTCTAATCTTTTCTTCTCCGTATATTTTATTTTTCTTAATATAGTTAGCTACACTGTATGTTTAAAAATATTATTTGTGAGCAAATAACATCAAGACTTCCCCTAAAATCCACAGGACCACTTGCAAGAATATTTCTGAAGCTTTGCACTCAACATGTATTTAAGCAGAAGCATCTATTGCAATTATCAGATTGTAGAACAACAGGATATTTAAAAATATATTCTGAATAATGAGAGACATTGTCTTGTTTCAGAGGAATTTACTGTGAAGAGTTATGAATATATTCTGAGCACCACCTTGCACAAAATAATTTCATAAGAAAAGCTGCAAGAAGTTACACATTTTCCCATATTCTAATTATTTTTAATACATTGTGTTGATGTATGTGGTATGATACTATGATGTTGTATTTGATTTCTCGACTGCAAAAACTACCAGGTGGTGCTAGTGCTGTGGTAGCAAAAATGGTTACTGAGTTTCCAGTATTACTCTAGCAAGCTTTATCAGTAAAATCTTGCTGTTTTTTTCCACGAATACAAGATGGAAAACTAGTTCCTCTGCTACTTTGTTTCAAGAAAACAGAACAGGACTTATGGGTGCTTAATGACCAGCTAAGGAGATATGATAGCTAAAGCTGTTGTAGGTTCTTGTCAACATAGAATATGCTTTGTTTTCTAATCCATTTTCTGTTTAGCTTTTGATGATTTGCCATATAATATCCAGAGAAGTGGCTAAATCCTTTTTTTGATTCAGTAATTCCTGATATAGTTTACTGAGAAATTGATACTCTTTCTGTTTTGTTCGGTAAATTTATATCAACTCTTCTTTTATTCTGCAGGAGAACAAATGGAAGACTGCTTGAACTCAAGTTATGATTGTCTTTGGGGAACTGAGAAATTAAAGAGACAGAAAACAGAGATAATAGAACACTCCTGTGATACTTGGACTGATACTCTTGTATCCAGGAGTGCATCAGTGAATTCTCCATCACAGGGCAATGAGCGAAAGAGCTTAACACCAAAACGGCATACCAGAAGTAGTTCAACAAAGAAACGGATTATACAGCACACTTTGGATGACAAATTATCTATAGAAAAGAAACAATCAAACTTTCCAAAGAAAAATCAGAAGAATGAAAAGAGCAAGACTACTTCAAGTGCAAATGAAAGTTCTCTTCTCAGGGACTTCGATCGTATTACTCCTTCCAAAAAATTAGTGCAGCTGAATACTGTTCCTTCTTTAATTGACAGTCTCTCTAGTTCACCTATGAATAGTGAAGACTTGAATACATGTTCACTGGATAAAAGCTTCCCTGTTTACAAAAATGATAGTATTCTTGAAGATAAGAGGAAGAAACTACAACCACTGCCTAGTTTGAAGCTGGTTACCTCAGAACTAGGTGCATCAGGGTCTAAAGGGCTCTTGCAACATGTTACTACATATAGCAAGTCGTTTTGTACTGACGAGGCTTCTTATGAAGACTTCTTTTCATCATCTAATTTAAATAAAAATGAAGTACAGTTAAGAGTACCAAATGAATCACAGAGTCATCCTGAAGTTTGTTGCAAAGACTCTTTTACAAGCAAGAATTTCTGTCATGTGAGTTTCTCTAAGGCACATAATACTACCAAGAAAAGTAGGAAAAGCTCTATCTCAGTGAATGATTTTCCAGTAAAGAAAAAATTCAAACCAGCTAAACGTCCTAGAAGCATGTTATTAAATGTATCAGATGGCACTGCAGAAGTTCTAGATTCTGATGATGTGAATAGGCTGCCTCAGCATGCTCAGGAAGAATCCTACAGAAACAATGTGAATTACTATGCTCATACTACTGGTAAGTTACTACCTAGAGCTGGAAAATCAAAAGATATCATACTGCATTAGATATACTCATGCAACTAAATTGGAAAACGTACCAACATTCCAAAAGGAAAAATATTTCAGGAACACACCAAAAGAAGGAAATGCTGCAGTACTGACTTTATTTTTCAGTAAAATAAATGAGTGCATAGGATCCAAAAGAACACCCATTTGTTTTGCCGTACATTAAAAACACAAAGTCATAAGAGATAGGAAACTGCTTACTATATACAACAAAGATAATGTTGAGCCTTCTTTTCTCCTAATGTTCAGTATTTTGAACACTTCCTGCTGCTATTCAAAATCTGTTTAAGACACCAAGGTCTTTTTTTTTTGAATGTTATCATGCTCTTGTAAAGTAGCTCCTCATCATAGGTTCCCTTGTTCAAACTATTTTTATTTCACAAGTAAAAATTTCTACTAAAATTGCAATTAAGAGCATAAAATCTCTGATGGAAAAAATATTTGAGTTAGCAATTTTTAACTTGTGCAGAGGTAAAGATGGAATAAGACATGAGTTGCAATGTAAGCATCTTTTTCTACAATGACTTTTTTATATGAACTGATCTTCATCTTTTAATAATAATTTTAGGAGTACTTTTTATATTTAAGCATTTTTGAGTTAGTTTAGCTCAATGTATTTCAATAAAAATTTATACTAAAATATTGAATTTCAGGAACTTCTGTGGAAAATGGTCCTAATTTACACTGGGGTAATCATTTTCCAGTTTTGATATTTTGAGCTCTGTTTGTCAAACTTTACATGGGGTTGAATATTTGTAATTGTATATTTTAGCAACTTGTTTTTCCTAGAAAATTCTGTAGCAGTTCATCAATGAATTATATAAAATTAATTATTAACTTAAAGGGCTCAAAAAAGTTGGTATCAGAGTTATGAAATCCAGTTGAAATGTTGAACAGTGACTGTGAGTAATTAGTTGCTGAACTGTGATCTGCTATTTTGGTTTTACTACATCTGTATTTTAATACCTGGAGTGCATCGTTATAGCACAGTTTAAAAAACAGTGGATGCAGGTGTGTTATAAACATACATCCATAAATGACCACTTCCTTCTCCAAGTGATAGAGGAGCCAACAAGGAGAGGTGCCATGCTGGACCTTGTCGTAGCCAACAGGGAAGGGCTGGTGGGGAATGTGAAGCTCAAAACCAGCCTTGGCTGCAGTGACGATGAAATGATGGAATTCAGGATCCTTGGGGCAGTGAGGAGGCTCAGCACTCTGTACTGGAGGATAGCAGATTTTGGCCTCTTCAGGGATCTGTTTGGTAGAGTACTGTGGGCTAGGGCCCTTGAGGGAAGAGGCACCAAAGAGAGCTGGATGATATTCAAGGATTGTCTCCTCCAGTCTGAAGAACAATGCATCCCTACGAAGAGGAAGTCATGGAAGAATGCCAGGAGGCTTCCACAAATGAACAAGGAACTCCTGGACAAACTTAAACACAAACAGGTAGTTTACAGAGAACAGAAGCAGGAAAATTATCTGAAGAGCCAGGGATCTGGTTAGGAAAGCTAAAGCATGGGCAGAAGTAAATCTAGCCCAGGACATCAAGGGTAACAAAAAAGCTGGTTTAGGGGCATCAGCAACAAAAGAAAGATTAGGGGAAATGTGGGTCCTCTCAGGAAGGATACAGGAGACCTGGTTACCCAGGGCATGAAGAATGCTGGCTTAATCAAGTTTTTTTGCCTCAGACTTCACCATCAAGTGCTACAGCCACACTGCCCAAGTTTCAGCAGGTAAAAGCAGGCATTAGGGGAATGAAGAACCACCTGCTGTAGGAAAAATCCAAGTTTGACCCCATTTAAGGAACGTGAAGGTTCCCATGCACAAATCCATGGGACTTGACAAGATATATTCGTGGATCCTGAGGAAACTGGCCAAGGAAGTGTCTAAGCCACTATCCATCATATTAGAGAAGGCATGACAGTCCTGTGAAGCTCCCACTAATGGGAAAAAGGGAAACAACACCCATTTTTAAAAAGGGCAATAAGGAAGACTCAAGAACTGTAGGCCGGTCAGTCTTACATCAGTGTCTGGCAAAATCATGAAACAGCTCCTCCTGGAAACAGTGCTAAGGCATATGGAAAATAAGGAGGTGATTGGTAGCAACCAGCATGGCTTCACTGAAGACAAGTCATGCCTGACAAATTTGGTAGTGTTCTACAATGGTGTTACAACAGTGGTGGACGAGGGAAGAGCAACAGATGTCATCTACCTGCATGTGGGCCAGGACAATCCCAATCACAAGCTGGGTGGAGAATGGACTGAGACCAGTCTTGGGGAGAAGGACCTAGGGGTGTTTGGACAAAAAGCTGAGTGTGCCTTGGCAATGTGCACTTGCAACCCGAGAGACCAACCATGTCCTGGGCTGCATCAAAAGCAGCATGACCAGCGGGTCGAGGGAGGTGATTCTCCCTGTCTGCTCTGCTCTTGTGATACCCCACTTGATGTGCTGTATCCAGCTCTGGAGCCCCAGCACAAGAAAGATGTTAATCTATTGGAATGATTCCAGAGAGGACCCCAAAGATGATCAGATGGTTGGAGCACTTCTGTGATGACAGGCTGAGAGAGTTGGGGATGTTCAGCCTGGAGAAGAGAAGCTCTGGGGGGACCTTAGTGCACCTTCCAGTAACTTAAGGAGTCTACAAGAAAGCTGGGAGAGGGACTTTTCATGGGGTCTTGTAGTGATAAAACAAGGGGGAATGGTCTTTAGCTGAAAGACGGTAGATTTAGCTTAGATATTAGGAAGAAATTCTTTACTGTGAGGATGATGAGGCACTGGAACAGGTTGCCCAGAGAAGTTGTGGATGCCTCATCCCTGGAAATGTTCAAGGCCAGGTTGGATGGAGCTCTAAGGAACATCATCTGCAGAAGTGTCCCTGCCTAGCTGAAATGAGATGATCTTTAAGGTCCCTTCCAACCCTTTCTATGATTCTATAAAATATATGAACATACTGTATGTGTATTTTTGCCATGTGGCAGTGTGCTAGAAGACTATTCTTAAATTATGTATTTCCTAATGTCAAAGAACAGTCAGTTTTTCATTTAAGAATCATGGAAACAAATTCAGAAGGAAAAAAATCACAGACTATTCTGAGTTGGAAAGGACCCTCAAGGATCATTGAAGTCCAGCTCCTGGCCCTGCACAGGACAGCCCCAAGAATCACACTGTGTGTCTTGAAAGCATTGTCCAAGCACTTCTTGAACTCTGTCAGGCTTATTTGCTACATTCAAACTCATTTTAGAGTTAATTCCAAATTTTAAATTCTGGTGATTAAATTATGATCAGTGTTCTAACGTGTCATGCTTTTATTTTCATGCTGGACAAGTTGTTTAAAATAAGAGATTTTGGAGGAGAAAAAGAGGAATAGTATTCAGCTAACAAAAGTCATCCAATGTTTATCCTTTTTGTCCTTTTTGTTAGGAACATCTGTAAGTCTCAATTTGTGTTTCTAGTGATTTTAATAGTATTTGTGATTTATCAGTGATGGCCATTTTCCCAAGTGTAATATATTCAGCTTTGTGCATCTGTTTTGTTGTTGTACCATTAAGTAGAAACTCGAGTTTGACAGCTCAAATGAGCTCACTTAATGGAATGAGTCAATAATGAAAGAGGAGTTGTATTTTTCTTAATAATGCAAGTTTTGTGGAAGAAAATTAAATTCTTGTTTTAAACTTACTACTGTGACTCTGTATGCTGGAATAATTGATTTTTATTAAATATAGCTCAAGTGTTTCCTTTTTTTTTTAATTAAATGCAAGTTGACTCTTGTCCCTATTAGTAAATAAATAGTAAATTGTTTTTCTGCATATTGTACATTATTTTAAAGCTGGTAAATGCAGTAAAATATTTTTACAAGCCAAAGGACTATTTTCACTCATCAGATATATATATATATACACACAGTTAAGAGTAATATATTCACTGAGGAGTCATATAAAATTTTGTTATATCTGTATATATTTTAAATACCAAACATTATTCTTGCCCATTTTTTTGGTTATAATTTTATGTCAGTAGCACTTTTCCCCAGTGTCTTTAATGACAAAAAGATTTGATAATCTTCCTTTCCTATTTGGAACAGACTCTTTGGAACATTTGATTTTAAAGTAGAAGTGTAATATGCAGGCTAATCTGAAACTAGCTTTACGAGTCCTCATGCTTATGTGGTAGGAAGCTTCATGTTCCTTTGTAGGGTCCATTCAAGGCTGCCCAGTTGTTCTGCTGAGCAGCAGAGACATAAATATGGCTACTTACTTTCAGTTTGGTCCAAGTCATGTGACTTCATGTGCAAGCTGAAATAATAATGGGCAAGGAGTGCAAGAGTATGCTCATTTAAGCTTTTATATATTATTATTTTTTTATTATTAATTATTTTTCTAACATAATTTAGAAATTTGAATTCAGACTTAGCATTATTTTCAGTCTTTAAAATAAACTTAAGGCTTAGCTGAGTGAATTCAGATATTTCAGATATTTATGGTGAATGTGGGAGGCAAATATTAATTGGCCAAAAGACCTAAACTAAGTCCCATTGTAGTGCAATTAATGTAGTTTGGTGTTAAGATGGGAAATGAATTTGTACATGCTATGGGGCTTAATGCTGCCAGAATACTGTTTATGACTTTAAAAGCACACACAGGAAAACTTCCTTAGACTTGATGTACCTTTTGTTTTTTTCAGTTTTGGAAGAAGACAGGCTCACTAAAAAAATATTGTATGTTGTTTTCTATTGACATTTTATTATGTCTTTTTGCATAACAAATGAGGCATGAAGAAGAAAACTATTCCTGGATTCCTTTTTTTGTTTATCTTCACAAAAAAAATTGATTGTAATAATTATTGAAACAAAAATGGGCAAGTATGTCTGAACAGAGGATTGAGGATTATTTGGATATAGTCAAATTTACAAAGCCTGATGACACTTGCCCTAGAGCACCTAAAAAAACAACATT